TTCGTACATTTTTGTTCAATTTTAGATTACAACGTCTTACAAATCGATTTAACCGGCGGGCGATTTGGAAAATGCGAAAAAAAGTAAAAAAATAAAAATTTTTACACTTTTATACAATTATATCTTCTAAACATTTGGATTTATATTATGGATATTCGGATAAAGAAATGATCTTCATCGACGGCACATAACGCTTAAGCATTTATCCGTTAATACTTAAAATGCAATGTGTGGAAATACGTCGTTTCGCCCGCACGGTCGCTTGCTACCTTTACAGTATTATTATTATTATTATTATTATTATTATTGCATTGGCTCTTTTATCTTTTCTTTTTTCTTCATCCATTCATCATTAAATACCTGAACTCTGAGGTAGACAGTTCCGGGTTGACATTACGTAGTAAAAATGGCAAGAGTGTGATATATCATTTACCATGTTACCGTGTTACCGTTATATATTAAACGTCGATATTATTATGTTTACCTTTCTTTAATAAACAGAATAGGGCTCGAAAGGATATCACGCTTGCACTTATGACATATGAATACATGATGCACTGCTGTGTGCATACATTCTCTGATTCTATCTTTACACATGTCTATGCGTGGTTTTTTACAGGATATTTCTAAAATGACATTATTTTGTGATTGCAATGACGGCCAGCTTCGAACATACGCTAATGTGTATGTCTGTTAAGTACAGTTGTATCTTAGAAATAAAGAATAAAGGAATGTTAATTACATTTCCTTACTTAAATTTTCAATGAATGTGTCCCTCTTTCTCTCTCTCTCTCTTTCTCTCTGCAAATATAATATTTTTTTAGAAATACCCTGTATATGGTATTTATCGTAACAGTCACGCAATCTTTAAGACACCTACAAAATTATTAATATAAGTATGCTATTAATTAATTATTAATTATGTTACTATTATGTTAATATTAGATATTATTAATAATATCTGACAGCAAAAAACAGGTTATAATATTACTGCAGTATTAAGTATTAAACGTTATTAATAATACCAATATTATAAATTTGTTGAAAAAGCTTTAACAAACAATTTGGAATATGCAACGAAAATCATAAAACATTTATTTTTGATTTTTTTATTAAAAGGACTGAATGCCTAAAAAATGCGGACCGTAACGATAAATGCATGAACCTAATATATAAGATATAAAATATGTACAATTATATTATATATAAACAGATTATGTTTGTAATGGAACAATTGCAGAACAAATTTAATTGAAAGATCAACATAATCGACATTAGAGATAATTCTCTTTAAACAACAACGATTGAATGAAGATTTAAATACTTAAAATCGCGTGAAATTATTGGCGCACCTGAAATCGGTCGCTCCATTCGACAACAACTGACGGAAACAATTATGCGTACCAGGGCGTTATTTCGTTATAATGACGTGAACGTTTACCCACAATTGCATGCTTGCGTGCGCCGAACGACGCGTGGCTCGAAGGGAAATTCGCTCCAAAGGGTCGAGATCGCAGCTTCGATGATTAGCTCGTTTTGCCAGTAATTAATCAGGGATCGATTAATCAATGACGTCAATATGAGGAACGATTGAGCTGCGAAAATATCTAATTGGCAAATTTCAATACAGAGAATATATGAACCTATCGACAACAATCACTAATAAATAGTTAATACTTCAAGATATTTAGTATAACAAAATATGTTAATAAATAAAATAAAAATATCAAAATACTATTACTTCTCAATAGAGTGCGTGTTACTAATGTTAAAACATTAGTTGACTAATAGTTATACTAATAAATTGAATAAAAATTCATTGATGTAATTGAATATAATATAAAAATTCAAAGAAAAATATAGATGGAATGTAGATGTATAAATAATTTAAATAATATAGCATAGAATGGCTCAAATAATATAAAAACAAAATTATGTAGTTTCATTTACATAATTTTTTGTTTTTAAATAATTTAAATTTAATATGTAACTTATTTATATTTCATAATTTATATATAAAATCATAAAAGAATTTAATTTTTCTTTCAAATAAAAAAAAATCACATTATCAAGATTTTTTATGAAGATAATATAAAAATGGGAGCGAATTCAATTCGAGCAACGCACAGATCGTATAATTAAAGTTTATCTAACTTTTAATTAAAATATTTAAATTAACAAATGAGGCACTGATGTGAAAACGTGCCCGGTCAACAATTGAAATGCACATCAAAAGGAATGTAAGATACCGTTATAGATAGAAACCTTAGAAATTTTCTTATCAATCGAAATTTATCGGAATTATTCGAAAATAAAAATATTTAAATTTGATAAAAA